TAGTCCACTGTCCTGCAGCAAGGCTTCCCCTTACCCAGTGTTGTATTCTTTCACAAAGGGGCAGTATTCTGCTGTCAGTCCTTAGCCCAGTTTCCCACTACAGTTTTCCTAGTCAGAAGCTCCTCACTTTCTTGGCTTGCAGTGTGAGACTCCCTGGCTTGGCTGAGCCCCAGGCTTATATGCCACTCAAGCCTTGCCCACCTTTGGTCAGGCGCCCTATCAGCTGACCCACCTGCAGGGCTGTTTATTAACCCCAGCCTTGCCAGCTTCGTTTGTGTGGTTCACAACAACCCTTCCATTAAGGGGCCATGCCGCTTTGCTATAACAGGGTAAGGGTTCCCTGTTACAATATGTATACACAAACATACACATATGTGTATTGCTGGTACCACGTGCAACTGACAAAACTCTCAGCATGCCATTTGAGGTGTGAAGACCTTTCAGTGTAATGCTTGATCATTCAGATTTAAAACTATCAGATAAGTTAACCAAGCAGTTACCTTCTCTTCACTCCTTGTAATTTCACAGTTGACTATGAGCCTTGAAGGCCTACGCATACGTTAATACTCAGTTATCTGGAGATCTGGTCCCCACAGTCTGCACATCTGTTGTTTAGCCTTCCCATCCATAAAAAGCCAGATTTTCTTTTAAAGAGTTCATTAATCATATATGCAGCAGTAAGGCCTACTTTGAAAGTGAACCACTACCTTTCTTAGTTTTACATAATTCCCCAAATCCAAACTTTGACATTAAGACAACCGTGCATACTCCAGCCCAAAGCTGTGATCCCTTATGCATTTATTAACTGATAAGCAAGTCATCAGTGTAATTTATTTAGGTTCTGGAAGCAATGCTATTTTGCAGAATGCTATTTTGAAGCAATGCTATTTTGAAGAACTCTGTTAATGGAGAGTTTTTCAATTTTATAGAAAAAAACCTAGTCAGCAGGTCATGGATAACTTTACAGGGCTCATCCTTGCAGCACATTGTATGTACTTCTGTTACTTGTTTAATTTTATGTTATGGTAATATACACAAACACTAATCAGGACTAGGTCTTCAGTTGCTGTCTAGCCACAGAAGCAGACATGATCTTGTTCTGATGAGTTTACTTACTATCTTTTTCACTTCTGCAACATCCTATTTTCTATGGAGTTTCATTTTTTTTCTATGAGGAACAGGTATTTCCATGTAAAATATTTCTCAGTTAACCTTTTTTCCCCTCTTTTTTCCACAGACACTGTAGAAGATGAAATGGAAATGGCCAGTGTGCGGCATCGGCCTGAGGCTCTTGAACAGTTGGAAGCACAAAGCAAATTCACAAAGAAGGAACTTCAGATCCTCTACAGAGGTTTCAAGAACGTAAGCACTTTCTTTCAGATTTTAGCATGAGATTAATTAATGTTCAGCTCACAGAAAATCAGTAGTAATTTGAAAATGAATGGAAAGAAAGTTGCTCATGGGTTTAAGTAGGAAGATATGATGTCTTTGTTCAAGTTAGAAAAATAAATAAACCACTCCTGTGCTGTAAACAGGAAGGGAAGTTTAAGTGCACATAACTTTGAAGGTTCTATTCACTGAGTGTATTTATGGTTCATGGCTAACATATATGCTCCAACACTATGTGCAGAAATGGTTGCTTAAAGAGAAACTTAAAAAGAAATATGGTCCAAACCTCAGATCATAAAAGCATCAAAACATTGAAGAGGTTCTGATCCAGGTTTGCATAAAACATGATGTGTGTGCATGTCTTTACAGTGAATGGAAACAAAAATCTGAATGGGAATATCTTCAAACTGTGCAAAGTTTAGGAAAAGTTTTGAATCCAGACTTTAAAGCTTGGGGCTCCTGCAAAGTATAACAAGCAGTCTGTTATAAAGCTGATGGTGGAGAAATAAGGGGTATAAGTAGACCATAATTCTGGTATTTATTGTACTCCTAACTTTGCTGTTGATTTGCAGTTTGGTTTTGGAAAGTAATATAACCTTTTTACCTCTCTGTAACATCCTCAGTTTAACCATCAGGATATTTATAACTACCTCAGAGAAGTAATACAAGACTTAATTAGTAGATATGTGAATCATTTGTGATCCTTAAGCGAGCTAACATGCATATTCTCATTCTGATATATTATTTAGTTTAATTATGTCACTTGGGAAGGTAAACCAAAAATAGCTACTTAAACCAGAATAAATGTATCCACGCAGGAAGGGGCATATCCAGGATTGTGGTGATAGGGGTGTGGCCATGTCATGGGAGGGGGGATGGCTTCACACCCTTTACTGTGATCCCGGATCCCAGCGAGGTCAGAGAGCTCTGAACTCATTAGCTGGTCAGTTCAAGGTCTGGCCAGAGCCCCTGCTTTTACCCTGATTTGGAGCCCAGGGGGTGAACACCACTGCCGTTTACTTTCCCCCTCCCTTTGAGTGGTCAAGTGGCAGTGGTGCTCAGCCCCTGCTTTCATTCATCTGCAAAGACCAGGGAGTGAGTACCACCATGCTTATCTTCTCTTTTCCCTTGCTGATGAATTCAAGAGGTTGAGGATGAAGAAGAGAACAAGCAGCAGTGGCATTCACCCCTTTGGCTCCAAAGGTGCATAAAAGTAGGGACTCTGACCAGCCCCCAAGTTGATATGCTGGTGAGCTCATAAAGCTCACCATGCATGTAGGGCACAGCCAAAGTGGAGTGCAACTGCACTACTGCACCCTCCTAAATATACCCCTACACCCAGTTTAACTGTATTGGTATCATTATACTGGTTTCATGAATAACACCTTCCTATGTAAGCAAGCCTTAGATTATAAGTATTTTGTGTAAGGAACTTTTTAGTATTTTCCCTTTCTACAGTACCTACTACAGTGGGACTCCCTAACCTCACTTGGCCTCTAGGTACTACCATTGTATAGCTAATAATAATGAGCACAAAGCCAGAAGGATTATAAGAATTTGAGACTCCTACCTACCGCTGGACACACATGACTATTCTTATAATAGATGTGACAACTTTAAATCGCTTTGAAATCCATGTTTGATTAATAGTAATTGGTATTCCTATTGAAATATTAAATGGCCTTTGTGCATCAAAAAGTGTTACTGTGCATGAAAAGTGTATTTTTTCCACAACACTTTTACTAGATAACATTTTTTCTCTGTGTCTATCCTGGCAAGCACAGTCATGACAGAAAAAAGTGATTTATCCTACATAATTATGTCCAGTTAATTACTATGTATATCTTTAGGCTGCTTGCTGCTTCAGTTAATATGAGAAAGATGTCATCTTTCTGAATCAAGTGTTTCTGTAATGTGCATGACATTTAAGAGATTGATCAATTACATGGTTTTTAATTAGACAACAACAAAAAGAAAGCCTTTAAGGATATTTTAATCAATTGGATTTTTGTATGCTTGCACATTACATTCAACAGTAAGATGATAAACTCTTTTATTATCATTGCCCTTTTGGGCCCCAGAAACAATCATTTGAGGCAAGGGAAGCAAAAGGTCAAAGGTGTGTGGGTGTGTAGACTTGTGTAGTTGCTTGGGTTGCTTTAGAGTCACTCAGAGCATTGGCTCAGCTAAGGTCTAGGGAGAGAGAAGTGGAAAATACACAAAAAGCATTGATCTAGTGCATCTGGAAAAGGTTATTTTAGCAGTGGCCAGAGCCATTAGGGCAACACTTTAAGGACAAGAGGAGAAATACAGAAAGAAATGTGAGGGGGTGAGAGAAGAGCCTTCAGACAAGCTAACAGCCATTAAAAGGATAAGCAGTAGGGAGGAACCAATGCCTGTGTTCAGTAATTTAGAAATTTCAAAGCTTTAACATTATCGTTTGAAAAATAGACTTAATGGAAGTCTCAGGCCTCCCCTGGCTCAAAAGGTTGTCTCTAGCACTCTAGTTTCATAGTGTTCTTGTACTGTTGTTGATGAATTGTTGCTCAGCTACCATCACAGTGGGACCTCTCCATTTTGTATTTGGCTTCCTGTCATCCCATTTACTGTAAATTGAAATTGTGATTGCTGCAATCATTAACCTTTCAAGCCAATGGCTCTGTGGCATGCCTAGTACAAGTAGCACTTCGCAGTAAATTGTGCAGACTATCAAGCATGCACTCAGCATGTGGTCTTTTTTTCTTTTGTCCATTGATAAGTCTCTCACAGTTTTATAAATGTTCCTAAGCTATTGCACATTGCCATTTCAGAAAAATACTTAGATGACTTCACTACATAAAGGATGTTCCTGTGTAAAACCTAAATGTTAATGATCCTTTAATTTTGATTCATTGTTCGCACCACAAGTTCTGTTGAACTAATAAATATTGGGCAAATTAGGTTTCCAGGGACATGTGGATAGATTTTAATAGTGCATAAGTGCTGAATATATGCATCTTATAGACAGTACCTTACCATCCTTGGACAAAGAAAATAGTTTGAAACTGTCTACCACTATTTTTTTTTAAGCAAATTATCACAGTTGTTTGAATGGTAGATGTAAATGATATTATTATACATAATGTTTTTTGATAGAACAAAATTTCTAGAATATCTTTCATCCAAAGTGCTTATATCGCTGTTAATAAATCAGGTTTGTTTAGACTATAGAGAAATAGTTTCCTATTGTTCCATGGTTTGAAATGTTGAAACAAGATATGTTTGTCCCCAAGGAGCTTACAAGACACAGAGATCAAAGCTAGAGGATAATTTAAGTCACCCTTCTCGTAATTAATGCACTATATTTTTAATAATAGCATGATGACAACATTTTACTGTGGACCACAAAAAAGAAAAGTGTTTAATGCAGTACTTTATGAGATCATAAAACTGTTCGTGGACTGTGTAGAAAGTTTACCATTTTCACTTAATACAGCACAAATGTCCTCATTGTCCCTTCTAGAAAAAAGCTTGCCTTTGTTTCTCTGTTAGTCTATTGTAGGAGAAAGAGGATGAGGAGAAATTACTTGTTTTGACTGATGAAATATACACCAGATGGAATCCTTAAGTAAAGACTGTGACATTCATGACCTGTAGATATGGTTACCTGACAAGGATATATGTAATCAAAAATAAAACTATATCACAGATTTGGAGCTTTCATTACTCTCTTTCCAATTAGATATGGGACCTGGTGATCATGTTCTTAGTTAATAGGTTGATGAGACACATGGCTTGTTGACATAAGGAGTTTCCAAGTTCAAGTGTAGATAAAATGTTTGTAGTTACCGAGGTTGGTCCAGGTAATATGAAAAACAGGATTTGTATGGCAGTTTCTTTTACTGGAGTACCTACGTAGTTGGGAGAGATACTAGACAACTTTTCATGAACTAAGCTAGGGCATTTAGGCCACTTGTACATCTGATGGGGGTTTAGTCCCTTAAATTGAAATGGTGGGTTTTTATTTGCAATCGTTAAAAACCCACTATTTCAATTTAGGGGCTTCCATCACTTTACAGTGAGAGGCGATCTTTTTTTTTTTTTTTTTTTTTTTTTTTTGGGGTTTTCCCCTTTTCCCTGGGTGGGG